TACCATATGTCTCAAGTTGTCTAATCATTGATCCCAACTAAGAAGTAAAGAAGACAGTAAAAGAAATAAGATATCAACACATCGTATTTATAATATCTTCCACTATCACTGGAGGGATAGAATAAAATACCAACACATAATTTTGTATACTTTCAAAAGTAACGTATCTCAGTCATATAGTTCAATGATAGGTCGTATTCATAATCGGCATTTGCCATACTTAGGTTATCAAGTAATTGTCTCAGTGCAACGGACTACCCTGTAGGTATCCTAAACTAGGGCTGAGCACGGTTCGGTCCAAACCGAAAAAACCGACCGAACCGATCCGAACCGACCCGAAAAAATCGATTTTAAGCGGTTCGGGTTGAAAACTTTTTAACCCGAACCGACCCGAACCGACCGAATACCCCATGGTCTAAATACTCATTCTGCTTAAACCCGACCCGTCCCCAAAGATAAAGTCTCAGACTCTTAAACTCTAAACACCTAAACTTCCCTTCCCCCTTTCCTAGCCGCCTCCTCAGTTCCTCTCTCGCTCTCTCTCACTCCTCAGTCCTCGGTTCCACGGTCCACCTCTCTCACTTCCTCTTCCTCTTCCTCACTTCCGCAGTCTTCATGGCCGAGGTCGAAACATCTCCTTAGGCTCAGGATCTGTCTCCGGCTTTTGGGGGGACACCCGCACCCGTCGCCGTCGCTGAGGCCGAGGTATAAACTTTATCTTTTGCTTTTCTTTTAGCTTCTGACTGCGATTATTCTTTAATTTTGATTTATTTCCTTGGATACAGCAGCTAGTAAGTTGAGATAATTCTTTAATTTTGATTTATTTCCTTGGATACAGCAGCTAGTAAGTTGAGATATCGGCCTATCAGTTTCCTGTTCATTTATGCACTCCTATTCTCATACAGCAGCTAGTAAGTTGAGATATCGGCCTATCAGTTTCCTGTTCATTTATGCACTCCTATTCTCTTATGATTTTCTGAGTTTGTGCTTTGATAACGATCCTTAATTTGTTTTATGGTATATATGTTTTCATGGATGATGATTTTGTTCCTTTTTTCCCCTCTTGTTTTTTCCAAATTAAGTCGACAACCCCTGAAATACTACTATCTAATATTCATGGAATCCCTTACCTATCATGATATATTCTATTTGATTTAGCATTTGGCAAGTCTACTGTTTAAGTTATTCTGAAAATGAAGTTAGAACCGAACAAACCGAACCGCACCGCACCGAACCGACTTGCAACGGTTCGGTTCAGTTTTGAATTATATGCGGTTCGGTTCGGTTGTTCAAAATTTGGTAAAAACCGACCCGAACCGAACAGTGCTCAGCCCTATCCTAAACTATGTACACGACTCATTAGTCTCATCGTGATCTCAGTGCGTAACATGAGTGCGGGACCGACTACCAAATAAGCATCCTAGAAATACGGCTCACGAGCCTCATCGCACCCTAGTGCGGGACGGACGGCTAGATCAAGCCTTCTAAAATCCGACTCAATGGTTTGTACATGTGGAATATCGACGCATTACCTCATGTAGTACTGAACTGAGCTCATCAACGATATCCACCTCTTGTATAAACTGTGTATATCTGGTGTGTCGACGCACTATCCCATATAGTACTGAGCTGTGCTCATCAACGACATCTAACATGTATATGAACTATATCTAATTCAAATATGATCAAATAAAAATTCATCATAATCCCCTTAGGATTATTAAATGTATAACATAACATATTCATGACTATACGTGTAACATCAAGCGGCTCAAAACTCTGCGAACGCACCTCAAAACGGCGCAACACAGCTCCACAAAACGAGCAGGAAAAATAGACAGGACATCTGTTAGTAAAATAAGCATATCTTTCTCTAGGAAAACCATTTTTACAAATGTTTTTCTGTTTTGAAAACTAGATTCATACATCTTTCAAATGACATAAGTTTGGTTCAGTTTGGAGTTCATTTGTTATCCCAAATATCCAGTTAAACATTATATATGTGCAGCTATTTTTCTGCAGGACATGTTATTAGTAAACATAACATATCTTTCTCTATACAAAGTCTTTTTAAGAATGATTTTCTGTTTTAGAAACTAGATACATATAGCTTTCATTTAAAACTAGTTTGGTTAAATTTAGAGTTTGTTTGCTATCCTAAACTCTTAATTAAAGATTATACAAGTGCTACAGTTTTCTGCAAAAAAACATATATATAGTACATCACTTAAATTTCTCATATATGAATGAAATTATGAAAAACCCTAATGATCTATATAGTACATCACTTAAATTTCTCATATATGAATGAAATTATGAAAAACCCTAATGATCATGATCATGATACTATCATAAATAGCAAGAAAATCATATATGAATGAAATTATGAAAAACCCTAATGATCATGATCATGATACTATCATAAATAGCAAGAAAAGATTATTCATCTTGCATTTGTTTTAAGGTTTACTATTAAAAATCTGACTTTTAACACCTAAGGTTAAGATTAAAGCATGAAAACACATATTCAACATCATATTAATCATCTATACTAGTTATTTAACTATGAGGATAGGTTTGGAAGAAGATAATCTTGCCTCAAATATCATTCTAAGCCTCTGAGATAAACAACAAGCAATTAGAAGTGCAAACAACCCGTTTTCTCCTTGCTACACGTCGATGATCTTGCCATTGTGTCGATATTTGCTTCACAAAGCTCTCAAAATTCTCAAATTTAGGGTTAGAGCTTTAGAGAGAGGAATAGGGACTGTTAGGGTTTAAAACTCTGATATAAGGGTGATAATTTTTGTGAAAACATAAGTATATATATATGCAAACCCGAAATAAACCCGTTTGACCCGAACCAGTAAACCTAGTCTGACTAGGAAGACAACCTTCGGTATTTTGGCAATAACTTTCGTGTCTGATATCGGAATGAGGTGATATAAGATTTTTTGGAAATCTCTTGAAGATACCTACAACTTTGGTATTTTAAGTTTTTCCAGATTCTAACTGTTTCAATGTGTAAAATACATATACTTTTAACTGGTCGTTTTTCCCAGATTCAGGCCTGGGCACGTGTGCATGATATCACTTCTATATTCACATATATACATTGAATTGATCTCAAATAAATTCTTAGCATACTAAAACATTAATAAATATTATTTTTTTATAATACAACACATTTATTATTTATTACAAAATATTCAAATTTTTGGGGTTTTACACATTCTAACATAGTTGACACAACTATCACTAAATCCATTATATATCCGGTCCATGTGTTGTTTTTTATTTTGATATTGCTTTATTTTCTCCTCAGTGGGACATGTACATATAGATCTACATCTACTTTGCATTATCCTCATGAATGTCATAACCATAACTAAAACAGATAGTGCAACACCCGAACACATATTAACTACTGTCTCTTCGTCGAGATCATCATCCATCTAAAATACAAACGTCATATTAAAGTAGATACCAACATTAAAGGCAAATGAAACAAGTCATTTAGAAATATGTGCTATTGAGGTGCTGGAACATGTGCTTTGAGGTCAATAAGTTAGTCTGCACATGAATTTTCTTATTGAAACGTATGTGCAAAAGTTACATAACTAATACTATTCATTCGAGACAACAAGGTCCAATTGATTAAAATTGGACTAATGTTGGGTGTTTAGGTGTCTCCTTTGTGTGTGAGCGCGTGTGTGTTTTATGTTTTTTTCCCGTGCATAATTTTGACAATCATACAATTAAAAATAAACCTTATTTTGCTTTATATATTTTTCTTAAGCACTATCACCCACTTGCATGCAAAAACAGGTGTTTAATAAATCATGCAAATTTCATAGAAATTCAACTACTTTGGGAAACTTAATCATTACATAAACTAATATCCACACATTTCTGTTTTGTATTACCTTCCAATTTTATTTATTTATTTCAAATCATTACATAAACTAATATCCACACATTTCTGTTTTGTATTACCTTCCAATTTTATTTATTTATTTCAATTTAATCATTACATAACCTAATATCTTTATTGTAATTACCTTCCAATTTTATTTATTTTAGTTTTGTATTGGCTAGCAATTTAACTTGCAAACCAAGGTAGGGATTTGATGTAATATATGCTTTATTCACATTCTTCCCCTGATCAAACCATATATAGAAATTTCAAGTATAGCGACTCACAAACTTAATCAATAACTTCCTTCTTTATCTCAAAACTTAATAATTTCCATAATTTACAAATTCTTCCTCTGTAACGTACATCCCTAATCTAAATTTTGAACATACAATAAAGATCTAAACTTTAATCTACAAAAGAAATAACCTTTTCACCCAATTCAACCACACATAAAATAGATCACAGATTAAAACTCTAGGGCATTTACCTGAAATTATGAAAAAAATTATGGAAAAAATTAGGGCATTTACCTGTTTGTCTTCGTCGGCTTCAGGCACCAAAAAACGTCGCTGACGAGGGATTAGAGGCAAGGGAACGAGGGATTCGTGTTCATCGGCTTCGAGCTCCAAAAACCGCCGATGACGAGGGATTATGGGCAAGTGAACGAGGGATTAAAGGCGGGGGAGAGAGAGAGAGAGAGAGAGAGAGAGAGAGAGAGAGAGAGAGAGATGACGAGATGAGGAGGCGGGAGAGAGAGAGAGACAGATCTCCTTTTTGCTATTTTTCGGCAAAATCAGGAGCTTCAGAGCGGAAATAAAACCGCTGAAAATTGATCGCGAAAGCCCTAATTCCCCCACTTTCCTCTTTTCTTTTTGCAAGACAAACAACGGGTTGTAAAGGAAAATGAGACTCATTTTCCTGTGTTAGTTTTCTTAACCCCATTTTCTGCTTTTTGGCCCAAACAAACAGCCCCTAAGAGGAAAGGAATTGTAGGGGCATTTCAGTAAATAGCATAGTTGTGTGCTTCTGGGGTCCACAGTTGCCTTCGGCTTCGGGTGGCCTTCATGTTAAAAATAAAAAATAAAAAATAAAAAACAGCAGCCTCTTCGGTCGCTGACGATAATAAGTTTTCGACTCAATTCTCTTCTCTTTTTCGATATTTCTTTCGTTCGATCGATCGATTCTGTACTCTCAAATGGCGGATCAGCTGACGGACGATCAGATCTCTAGAATCCGAAGCTCATAAGGTACGCGAATCAATTCATTTCCATAAAAATTTGATCTTTCAACGTTATTTGCCAAAATTTGCTTAGGGCAATCGTAGATCTACAGTTGGGTCTGATGTTTAGATGGTTATTTTGCTAAATCGATGCTATTATTGTGTTTTCAGAAGCGACAATGAAGGGGAAAGGAGGCTACGTTCCCCCTTTGTATGTCCCTTTAGGGCAATCTGACGTGGCCATTGAGGATCTTGATTCTGATCAGAGCAGTGTGAAAGGGGATGGGGATTCTTCCTCGGTTCGTCGGCTTACGGCGGCGAAGGATCCGACGCAGTGGTCGTCGGGGATCTGCGCTTGCTGTGATGATATGCAGAGCTGTATGCTACTTTCTATCCCTGTGAAAACATTTAAATGAAAGGTGCATTGGTTATATATGAAGCTAGCTATTGCCCCTTCGATGCGAGGGATCTAGTATTGTTATGACTTTGTTTATGCCCATTCAAAAGGAACACCCATCGATGCCATTTTCCTCATTGGAAATCAGAAATAACTCCAATCAATGACTGACTTGTGTCACCTTTTATTAGAATACTATAGATAGGCTGTTAGATAGTATAGATGAGCATGATTAAATTGTTGGAAACATTTGTGGGTTTTTAGGTCCCCTTGTCTATTAAGAGTGCATCCGACAACTAACCGTCTCATGGGAGTTGTCTTTGTCATGAGGGCATATTCACATCACGATGACCAACTTATCTTCCTGATGAGTTCCTTCCTTTATGTTTGTTTTGAAAGTGGAAATGAGTTTCCATAACTCATGTTTTCATCCTCTTTATGGAAATAAAGAACATGCTTTCTAGATTTCAATCAACCATAAAGACCATGGAAACTCTTAAATCATTCATGTCCTGATGTCACTTGTCATGTTGTTGAATAAAGGAGTGAAGGTTGAATATTGGTTAAAATAAATAAATCAAAGGATGGCATGAAAGTGATAGTAGATAGATTAACAGGGTCAGGGTATGGTTAGGATACGAGATTAGAGATGGGAAATGTGATTAGGGAACAAGACAAAATGATTTTATTCCCATAATTTTTATACTGAATAATCTAGTGACTAATCTAGTTGGAAATGCATGCCCACCCATCTCTTTATGTTAAGTAATTGGTAATATCCATATACGTCCAGGACTTTGAGTTAGCAGTTGAAAATTTTAACTGGTAGATTTTGTGGTTATGGGTCTCTCATGTAACCTTCCAAATTTTCTTATTGGTTCAAGCTGTTTCTAATAATCATTGAGCATAAGCATTCTCTGAGTTAGTGTATTGTGTAATCTCCACTTCAAGGGGTCATAAGCACCTCGATGCCCAATATTCCTTTCACTGACCTGCCTTCTATGAAGCACGGACACGCATAACATGAAGCCGTGTCGTGTCGTGTCCGTGTCGGACACACGTGTCGAACACACGTATCCTATGTATTTTTTAGGATTTGCCTCGTCTCGGCGTGTCGGATGGCCGTGTCGGATCCGTGTCCGTGCTACATAGCCTGCCTTTATCATTTTTCTCTCTTGTAATTACGTGCAATGTATCTGTTGCTTCCTAGTTAAGACTAACAGGTAAGGGATGCTATTTAAGTGACTATAGGGCTAAAAGTATGGCAAGCCTCCTTTACCCTTACCTTAATGAGTAACTTATAAATTACTATTATGACAGGTAAACTTCTCCCTTACCTTGTAGGGTTTTAGCTTTATCCGTTACCCCAACTGGTAATTTAGAAATCACTGCAATGGAAAATAGGTAGAACTTCCCTATTTCATTACAGGGTAAATGAGTAAAATAGATTATTCCCTTTTACTGGGAAACACTACTATGTTCCCCAAAAGTGAAGCCAACAATTGTATTGAACAATCTTAGTCTAGATATCTATAACAATTTTCCACAATCCTCTAGTTAAGGAGATCATATCCTCTCTGTGCTTTGTCTATTACTAGAAAGACATCAGATTCTTATCATACTAGTGGCATGTTTGACTACTACTTAATTTATGATTACTTAATAAGTTACTTAGTGCTTATTTTTACTTATTTTGTAAGAGGGCAATATAGTCTTTTGACATCAATAAGTAAATCTACTTATAAGTGGCCAAAAAATAAGTTAGGAAGTCCTAACTTATTCTTTTTCCTACTTATAAGTTAAAAATAAGTAATAAGTAAACCCTTACCAAACATGATTTTGGCACCTTTTAAGTAAAAGGATACTAATAAGTGAAAATGACTTTGTTGGCAAACATGCTCCGCACCAAAAACATGAACTGCACTGAATATGACTTGGTGTTTCAAGCATATGTTGACTAGTGACAACTTACTGCTTAGAGATAAAATTGTTCACCTAATTCAATGGAGCATGATCTAAAGCTTCTTGATAATTTAATTAAAACAAGCAACAACTGGAGGCTTGATGATTGCTTCAAATTCAAAAATAGTTTGTGTATTAAGATGCATTTGTCATAGTTAAGAAGGACTAATTCCTGAGTTTGGGTAGTCAAATAGAGGGCTTAAAAGCTTAGAATCTGAAAACTTGAATTGGTATCTTTATCTCTGAATATGCATTTCACATATAACATGACTAGAAATAAATATTGGTTGTGCACCAAATGATGCGCTGTTTGGTTTATAGGAATATCTAATGATTTATATCACAATTAATAGCATGGATATGTCATTCTGTTGCATAGTTGTTTGTGTGGTGTTAGTGTATATTCCTTCAAAGATAAGGATATTTCTTTCCTCCCACTTCTTGAGCCATTGGATTTCTGATGAATGGCTAAGAAACAAATAGGAGGGTATCTCTCACTCCAAAAAAATGGAAATGACTTCATTCTACTGTTTGTAGCATTTAATGTGAAGAAGTGAAAGGAAAAGAGTTCCTCTCCTCACAAGTAGAAAATATGTATTACATAGAAGGACAGATCATGCAATTTACAATCAAGGAGCATTTATATCTGTGTTTATTATGACATGGGTTCAGAGCTAGTTCTTCCAAGTCATATTGGTTTTGAGATTTCTGTTGGTATTGCTTGTAACAAAAAAAGAAAGCTTATTTTGCAAGTAAAACTTCAGTTCCTAATATGATAATTTGCTCTCTGTAGGCTGCATTGGTACTGTTTGTCCATGCTACTTGTTTGGGAAGAATGCAGAATTTTTAGGCTCAGGAACTTTGGCAGGATCGTGCATGACACATTTCATATTATGGGGTCTTCTCAATAGTCTCTGCTGTATGTTCAGTGGAGGAATTCTTACATTAGTACCAGGATCTACAGTTGCTTGTTATGCTTGTGGATACCGTAGAGCACTCCGGGCAAAGTATAACATACAGGTACCCTGCAGCCTCTTTGACTTATGACAGACTGTTGATTTATTAGATGAACATTCATGTGGGTAGTCAAAATTTTCATTGCATCCACAAGGAGGTGGAGAGTTGGGAGTAGAGAGAATGATAGTAAGATATGAAAGTTGCACCCACATTTTGTTCTACATTAGATCATCAAGCAACTATTGTTTGAACCAGAATAAAAATTTCTTGATCATTTGATTGCCTAATGATACTAAAATGCTTAGTTAATCTTTACTATAACGGTATGCATTGGTGTACTTGTACCCTTGCTAATGCTACCATAAACATTATACTATTTAACTGTCATGTTAACTGGTAAGTACTAAGCCTATCGTAAGATCTGACTTGCAATATTTCTTCTTGAAATAAAGTGGTGTTAATTGCAGATACACCCCCTTACTGTGGTGGCCAGCCATTGATACTACTTGAACTGTTTTATTATTAGAACTCACACCCGTTGAACCTCAGCCAAGTTACTTCTTTTACCGTCAATTTAGAGGGCAGTTCTACTTATATTTTCGGTTAAATTATGGGCGAAAGGTAATTCATTGTCACATAATTCATAATCACATCTTCTTGAGTTCAGGGCGTAAGTACTAATAAAATAATTAGAGGGTATAAGTGGCTACACAGCCATAGCGAGGGGGGTGTATCTGCATTCTGTAAGTGACCTAATGAAGTTTTGTTTCATTTCAGTCCTTGTTCATACTTTCTAATCCAAACTCCTCGCCCTTTTTAGGAGGCACCATGCGGAGATTTAACTACTCATATGTTTTGCCATCTATGTGCCGTTTGCCAAGAGTACAGAGAGATCTGTGACAGGTCGGATGGCTCCATCTCCGTTCTTGCATTCCCTGCTGTAACTCCACCCGCTATCCAAACAATGGAGTCCAACCCGGTGGAATGAAGACGTTAATTGATGCAGATCATCGGTTAACATTCCATTTACAGTATTCTTCTGTGCTGTCTTTGCTCTGTCAATGCGCCTTAAGAGCTTCAAGATGGATAGTCTTCGGGAATTGAACACATCTGAGTTTAACCAGTTACAGCAGCTTAGCACACACGTTTTCACTATGTATTTAACCTAGGATGAGTGTTTCTATATGTTGTACTTCTAGTTGTAATTTGTGCTCGCGACATTATAGTCAATTTCTGGAAAAATGATGCCATCATGTATATCAAAGTGTGTTTAATGTTGTACTAGTTGTAGTTTGTGTTTAGGACATCATAGTCATGTAAAAGTGTAGCTGATGTTGTGTTATGTTGAGGATTAGAAGACTCATTAGTGCAGTTTGCTGCTAAGTATTTTGTCTCTATGGACCTTTTAAGACATTACTATGAGTAAACATGGGCCAATGGCCGATGTGTTACTTCACGTTTTTTGTTGCTGTGGTGCTAATGTGACATACGTACATATAGGGAGGAATAGGGAGGAAGAACGAAAGTATTGATCCATGTACATGATACATATGATCCATGTACATGATACATACGTTTCGAAAATGTGGATCGCCAATTCTGAAAATTGTGCTGTGGACATCCTAAGTTGGCCTGCCTATATGATTTTCTATAGAGATCATTTTCCCTTTAGAGATATCTTTCCTATTAGGGGTGTTAACGGAGCGGATACGGCTTGGATATGACACTTACCATATTCATATCCGCTTACCCATCTCGGATACGGATACGGATATACGTCGGTAAGAAAGATTCATATCCATATTCGTCAAAATCGGATGCGGTTACGGATATAGATGCGGATATATAAACGGATATGCATGCGGATACAAAAAGGATATGAGAAAACTAGAGTGTATTCAGAAAAATATAGTCATGTGATACAAAAAGATTTCATTAATATGTTCATTATGATTGAAAAGCTAAGATTAGACATCTTGATCATCCAAATTAACCACAAATCCATAATCTAAGAATCGAAACTATCGTAAGAGTATGACTAATATGTATTCGGATATTTTCGGATACGGATACAGATATTTCACTACAAAACCATATCCGTAACCATATCCTATCAGTTATAGATTTGAGTAACCATATCCGTATCCTAACGGATACGGTTACGGATATTTCCTCGGATACGGTTTGGCACCCCTATTTCCTATCCCTCGAAAAAAATTCCTAGAGGACATTATGCATAAAACTTTTGAAAGAGGAATGAGAATGTTAAATCATCAAATGATATCCAAATTAGTGCAAAACAATACAGAAATTAGTGTAATGATCAACGGCCTAACACACATGCTCACACATGCATGCTAGGCTTTCCATTTGTATGTATCTTTTCATCTTTTGTAATAGGCTTTTGTATATATACCCCTTACATCATGTGTATTTGCAAAACAACCCCCCGACTATTAATATTTGCAAAACTATCCCCAAATCATAAACTTTGGAAAGAAGTATCCCCAGAGTCAACAAATCATTGATGGATATGCTGAGTAAGTATTTGATTACTTTGTTGATATCGTTACACTGCAGTTGCAAATTAGCCTATCAAAGTTGATGATCTGTTGATTTGAGTGTTTCTTTTTTCCAAAGTTGACGATTTGGGGTTAGTTTTGCAAATATTGAGATTTTTTTTATCTGGGTTGTTCGGTTTCTTTTTCCATGGGTTTAGGGGAGGGGGGTTGCATTTAAGGGGTATATCTCCAAATGGTCCACTTATAATTAGCCAGCCTAGCGTTATTTTTCGTAGGCGAAATTGAGCGGGCTGCGAGATTTTGTGTAGGTATGAAGAATACTTTGATTATGTATTAGAAGCTGCTTACAGATGGAAGAAACAAAAAGCGGGCTCAGATGACAAGCAACTACTGCAAGCGGGGCTACTTCTATAGATTTTCTCTAACACGGATGTATGCATCTTTTGTATTTTCTTTGTGAAAGCTGATGATGTTTTTATCAGATGAGCAGCTTTCCTGTGTAGTGACGCTGACAGACGCCAGTAGTAGCTCGGCATCACATTTTTCTTCCCAAGCTTAATGCTTACAGTGCCTAATTTCGGTGTCAATACAATTGGAGGGTGCATGATGCATGAATCTTTGTAAATTGGAAGTTGAATCTGACTGTCAAATTATAATACCACTGTTGCCTGCAACATGCACTCAAAGTAAAAGTTTGATGTTAACTTGTTCTCCAACCTGCCTGTTCCTTTTATTGTTGTGTTTTAACTTAGGGTATGGTGGTTCTGATGTTAGATATCCTATGATTGTGGTATCTTTTTCCTTATTTGGATACGATCCTTTTGAATCCACCTGGATCCTTTTGAATCCACCTGGTTCGGTTCATGCCCGTCTGCTCAAAATATGGTCGAGCTTCTTGATTTGATCTGCTTCTTCATCATCTCTTTATTTTGATTTCATATCTTTGCACCCTGCGGAAAATTTTATTTCGAAGTTATAATCACTGCTCGTCTCAAGCAATGGAGGTTGTAGTTGTGAATACATTGAAAACTATTTTGGTTTCACCATTACACTCGGCTCTAGCTTAAGCCCACTTGATTCAATACATTTTCAGCATCAGGCAGAAAAATCTAAAGAGAGAAGTGTGGGTAATTCTTAGGCGAAGAGGGCCGGAGATAAGGAGGCAAAACAATGCTAAAAATCCAAACATATGATCACATCTGCAATACAAATTCTACATGTCGGTTATTTCCTTGAATGATTGTGCTTCAATCTCTATGTTGCATAGGCTAATTTGCATTGCAAAATTACTGATTCCTCGACCAGAACCCAGACTTTCCTCCACTCTTCTGCTCAAGTCGAATATCAGTAATCTGAATATCTTTTGAAGCGGCTTTACACATATCATACACAGTGAGTCCAGCAACAGCAACTGCAGTCATTGCTTCCATTTCCACACCAGTTTTCCCCGTTGTGGCAGCTTCTCCTTCTATCTCAACACTCAAATCCTCTTCATTGAGACTCAAATCTACACGAACATGGCTGAGTCCAATATTATGACACAAAGGGATGAGGTTGCTGGTATGCTTAGCCCCGCTAATTCCAGCTATCTTTGCTACATTCAAGACGTCTCCTTTGGCTATTTGGTTGGCAGCGACTAGGCTGAATGCCTTTTGGCCTAGAAGAACTCTGCAACTAGCCACTGCAACTCTATTACTGTCCTCTTTGGAGGAGATATCGACCATTGAAGCTTGTCCACTGGTATCTACATGGGATAGGGTTTGTTGGCTTTTGCACGGTTCAGAAGAAATGGATTGGGTTTGTACACTGGTACTAGAGTCCATGCCGCTGGGTGTAGGTGGCTCGCCAAAAATTGATTCCATTTCCTGATAATACATATACGGAAAAGATTCAGGGTCACAATGGTTAAAGATGCTTGAAGTATATGGTCAAATTAAAGGTAATTGTTTCAGAAACCTTAAGAAATTTATTATTAGCTACAATGTGTCAAAAAATATTACAAAAACAAAATGCTGGAAATGACATAAGTTGTGAATTGAAAATTTATTATCCTACAACTTAACAAGATCAACATCTCTCCTGCAGGTAGAAATAAGATGCTCATCTATAAA